AATTATCATTATACAAACCCTCACTTGCTGTTAAAAATTGGTAGTGTACAACTGTATAATTATTATTCAACAAACCCTCACTTGCTGTTAAAAATTGGTAGTGTACAACTGTATAATTATTATTCAACAAACCCTCACTTGCTGTTAAAAATTGGTAGTGTTCAACTGTATAATTACTATTCAACAAACCCTCACTTGCTGTTAAAAATTGGTAGTGTACAACTGTATAGTTATTATTAAACAAACTCTCACTTCCTGTTAACTGTTGGGAGTGTACAACTGTATAGTTATTATTAAACAAACTCTCACTTTCTGTTAACTGTTGGGAGTGTACAACTGTATAGTTATTATTAAACAAACTCTCACCTGCTGTTTATTGTTTGGAGTATAAGGTAACATGGTTGACACATGAAACATGATCTCACGGTTTTGATAGGAAGAATAAACTGAATACAGGCCACTTGCATCTGCTGTAAAATGGAAATATGTATATTAAATAAATTGTGAAATGTTGCCCTTCAAATAAATACACCTTAGCATAAACACACTCCTAAACATCACCACAAAAAAAAAAGCTTAAATTCTAATTAACATACTAATAATATGAAAACACATTCAGTAAGAAACAGTTGAAGATTCAAATCACATTGACATTTCATAGCCTCTTTCTCCAATAAAACATTTTAATTATCTTTTAAACTTATATTAACGTTTTTTTTTCATTACCCATTCAAGCCGTCTCCAACCATTATTAGTCTCAAAGTTTAAAGTCAAAAAGATAGATGACAGTGAATCTAACTTCTTAGCTAATGACACATGAAAACAATTTACGTTAAAAAGTTTGTCAGTGCTCTATACTAGGACCCAATGCTCCAATTAAAAAAAAATGCATCTGAGGATTGTTTTTAAGGAGCCATCTGGTGATCACACATGTTAAGAACTCTTTTAAGTATAATTTGGGAATACAATTTTGAGGTTTTGAAAGAGGATGCCAACAGTACTGACTGTTGTACACACGAGTGCTTCTCAAAGGAAAAGGTATGGTGGGGATGGGAGGTGTACATTTCTGGTGTTTGTCAGTCCTTGAAGCTGGTGTTTTGATTTTAAAGAAGGGATATCATTATTAAAAATTGTATTTCTGTAAGATTTAAGTGCAGCACTGTACAGTACCCTTTTTGCAGTATTTGTAACTGCTTGGATCTAAAGAAAAAAGGTAGTTGCTTTCCACTGAACCTACAAACTGATTTAAAACATACCATATACTGTTTGAGAGTACAAAACGTTTACCTCTATGTTTGATTAAAACTTTAATCTTTACACCACCATCTTCCTAATTTAAATATTTGACAGGATTTTTTTTTATTTTTTGAGAAGATAAAACAAGGCAATGCTATGTAACCTTTATTTTAAATGTAATAATAAAAAGAAAATTTCAAAAAAATATATGATAAGTAGCCAAGCCTATATTGCACTTAATTCTAATAGAAAACAATGGTGTTAAAATGTTTTCTTCAATAATTTTTGCTTCTGGCCACTAAATTTCTGGATCTCAGAACTTCGTTTTTGAGGCCAAGAGCCAAAGACTCCCATGTGGAAAAGTTAGCATAGAGAGCTTTTTTTTTGACCTAACATTTTATCATATTATTACAGAGTGATGACATATAGTTTTATAATAAACTCCTCAATGTTTCTTTTCTACAGCAGACCAATAACCTGTTCTTCTTCATGTATATACTGTATCCCAATGACCTCTTACTGACCTTTGCACAGCATGCCAATAACCTCCTTTTCCTGACCTTTGTACAACATCCCAATAACCTCATCTTCCTGACCTTTGTACAGCATTCCAATAACCTCCTCTAAGTGACCTTTCACACAGCATGCCAATAACCTCCTCTTTCTGACCTTTGTACAGCAAACTATTGACCTCCGCAACTTGTTCTCTTGTACATTCTAATAACCTCTACTGCGTGACTTTTCATACAGCATGCCAATAACCTCATCTTCCTGATCTTTGTACAGCATGCCAATAACCTCATCTATAAAATCTAATACAAAGATTTGTCTAATTGATTAGATATCAGTATTAATTGCAGTAAAACTTTTATGAAAGTAATAAAATATATATAAAGAACAATTTTTGTAGGCTTTACTTTTATTATCTAATCCTCCTGTGTACTTATCAAATCCCTTTAATCTCACTCGCTTTCCGATCAGCTCCAGAAATTCTTCAAAGGCTGGCCCAGAAACTTCTATGAAAATAAAATATTTTAAAAGAATATATTCATTCTGAAATACAAAGGGATATTTTTAATTGAAAAATGAAAAACACATATATATGCTACAGAAAGTCATGATAGTTTAAACTGAACATTTTACTAGCGACAGTGACGATTAAATACAAACTCCTTCAGCTGAATATAATGCGAGAGAAACTCTAAGTTTTCTTATGCAGTGAATGGTTTTCAATCTGAAATAAATATTTCAACTTCTACATATAATCATCTTATTAAATAACATAAACAATTAAATTCTATATTTTTAAAGGGGCTTGCCAGTACCTCTAAATTGGGATTTTTCACAATTGGGGTATTATTCTTCACTGGTCAGTTAGTTTTAGTATTTGTGCACAAAGCTACATAAGGGCTATATGCACATAGCTATTTCTAATTTTAAACTGACTGTCTAGAGCAGACATTCCCAACATAGGGGTCTGACTTTACATGAGGTTTTAATCTACAGTCAGACAAAAAGAGCAAAGTGGCTCACATATATATATATACGCTCTTTAGATAAAAAGTTGTGATCATGGTGAACGTTGTGATGTTATTGCTCTGCTACATCATAACTCATGTTTTCGATAAGTAATGTAGAACATAAGCAATATAGAACACCCTCGTTACAAATCAGCTGATAAACCCAAGGGGTACAGAGGAACAAAAAGGTCGGGAATCCCTGGTCAAGAGGAAAAGTAGCTTGCAAATAGTACCCACTGGCAGTTCTTGGGCTACTCTTTTCTGACTGAACAATCAAATTTGGTCATCGTTATTATATTCTATCCATGGCCCCCACAGTAAGAAGTGCATTTCTGCAGCAACTGGATGCAAACTGTGAATCCTCAGATTCACAGACTGGCACTGCTCATCATAAGTTTATGTCCAGTCTACACAGCCCAGCCTCTAAAATGGTTGTTTATTATTCACTTGTCAGTACCTCTAAAAACAAGCTTGTCAGGACTAGTATTGTTTTATTAAACTTAACTTTTAAAAAAATTGGGGAGATTGTAATTATGAAATTACACTAAAACATTGAATACATGTATTTGTTATTCTATTAACCTGAAAACCCATATTTTTTATTCTTTTGACCTGAAGGTCTTAATAATGCCCAACCAACAATATAGTGGACACTGATTCTTATCAATGACCACCTGTCAACTAAAACAGATGAAATGCAATACTTGTATTCGTGTGTGTGTGTGTCTATATACATATATATATATATATATATTCATTTCGAGAAACTTTTAAATAATAATATTTCATACTTCGATAAATAAAATGTATATACACCAATACCGGCATATATTTATGTTTCTCTACTATTATTTTGAGGTGATGTAGTATATTATCACAACTCTATTCAGGTTCTCAAGCAAGCTTCCAGGAGTACATCATAAAAGCAAGAAATTATGGGATATTTGTATCTACTACATACAAGTTAAGTTTTCATCAAAGATCAATTTGGGGCTTAAGCATTGTAGGCTCTTTTACTTATATTTTTTTGGCTTAAAAAAATCCACAAAAGTAATTTAAATATGTATAAAAATTGACAATTTTCACATTTTCCAGTTCTGAAAAAGCAAAATTGCAATTCTTTGCTGTTTAACTCTTTCAGCCCAGGCTTGGTCCCTGGGCCTGACCTCGTTACCATTTTGTGTTTGTTATAGTTTTCATGCTATAACTTTTAAATTAGT